GAGAAAGAGAGAGAAAGAGAGAGAAAGAGAGAGAGAGAGAGAGAGAGAGCTCCTCTCTATGTATTTCTCTTATCTTCATTCCCATCTCAATTTCACATTGAGAGGTATTTCAACAATTCAAACAAAATTTGAGCTTTAGATGTTCTATATATCTTATCATAATTCAGGCTGCCCATAAAAGAAAACTTGTGCCACTCTGCCTGGTGTGCCAAACAAATTCCAAAATTACGACCATTGAGCGTGTCCTATATGGATTTCGCTTTTTCCTCTTTTAGCCTAAGCAATGTTTAACCGGATGAACAAAACTTCTATACGGAAGAAACAAAACAGAAATTTGTTTTACGATCTCCTGAAAATATGAAGTGTTTGCAAATAGCACGAATGACTAATGATTCATCCCGGATAAAAACATTTCTGACGGGGGAGAGGGGTGGTTGCTCCCTGCCCCACTTCTGCGATTCTCTTAAAAGGAATCTAGTTTAAATAACACAATTTCGAGACTTGCGTCAACAGCACGAAGCGCATTAAAAGTACTAGATACTTGATCAGCATTGGAGCAGTTAATTAATTGAAATATAGAGAACCCGATTACATTCGAAGTTTTTTATGATGTCATTCTTAATTATACTAAAATTCTCTCATACTTTTTGCCCATGAAAAGTTTGCAATTTTTGCATTAGCTTGTTTACATAGGGTAAAATTTAATAATGTATTAGCAAATAGATAGATTGTTATATATTTTATCTGCCAGGCATCGATTTTATCTGCTGCAAGTTATCGACATTTTTACACCAAACATACACAATCTATCGTATGGTCAAATTGCTTTTAAAGAAAACATCTTTGACAAATTCTTAACTCATATCTAATCTTATTTAATGGTGTACGCATTCAATCATTAGCTGGTTTTGTATTCGAATTTACCATGACAAAATCAATGCAGAAGGTTGATAATGGTGAGAAGGGTAGAAGTGGACTGTATTTGAAGTTTTTAAATTAATTGTGCATGACTTTCTTCAAAACTAGGCTATGTATTCCCTAGTGATGGCACGGCAATTCCTTTCTTGTAAAGGGGTGTTTTCTGACCGTAAAAGAACGTGACATAAACATGTTTGTTCCATGTACAAGCAAATTTATTGGTAAAAAGGTCCTTTGTGCCTTCATGCCTAAATCATGGAAGCATTTACATTTCATAGCTATATACTATCCAACCAGATAGTTTCTGCTAAATTGTCGGTTGAAAGGCAATTTTTAGCGCTTTTGTCGGTAAATGTTGTCATTTGTCGGCTGTTTTTGGAGGCTTCCCACCACCAGTAACCTGAAAAACAATTAGCTGACTATACGCCCCCCCCCCCCTACCCTTCACCTGAAAAACAAATTTCTGACTATGCGGTGTACTACATGTTTTATGTTTAAGAGGTAAATCATTCATAATTGTCCTCCTTTCCCATGTTTTCGTACCTTGCTTTTAGGATAAAGTCATTTTTCACTGTTTGTGTTCTGTTTGGTTGTATCTCGTGTAAATGTAGAAAGCTTTTTGGGAAATATATATCTAAAATTTTTAGCTTAAACACAGTTTTTAGTGCTTTTGTCAGTAAATTTTGTCGGCAGATTTGTTTGTTTTTGTATCACCCCCCCTCCCAGCGTGGAAAATCAATGTCGGCCTCTATATATAATATTTAAGTTATTTTCCACTCAAAATTGGTATTAAAATTGACAACCTTGCCAACAATGGATTGAGTTGTTCCTTGTTCTCCATGTGCCACGAGAATAGCCAATTCATCTACAACATTAAGAAAATCTTTTAAAATTCTGAGCTAGGCTTTATTTAAATATGTTTGATGTTAGAGGTATGTAAGCTTTATTCTGGTCCACTTCAAAATAACAAAAATGGGTATACTTAGGATTGAAGTGCTAGAGGTCGCAGAGGTATATTTAGGGCTCAGATCAGAATGATAAAATGGGACATAGAGAATACGTTGACGCAATTAGAGACTTATTGCCACGTTTGCCCCACTGAGTATGAAAACGAAATCTTAAACTTCATCTTTAGAAAAAAATTCGTCGGTTTTCAAGTTAAATATTTCTTCTATAGCCATTGCGTTCTACTTAAAATCTTGGCACAACTTCGAAAACTAAAAGAAATTTTTGAACCCGCTAATGTCTGTGTTTTTAAGAATAGTTGAAAACTCTGGCACTTTTATCTGTTCATAATTTGTGCAAAAGCAACACCACTTTATTATTCTATTTAAAAGTGCAGCGTATCCAGTTCTTACTGATTACTTTTTGGCACCTGGAAGCAAACCCTTTATCCTAGATACTACACATTACAATTTCCGATTATGAATCATTCATCATTTTTAATTGCTAGCTATGCAATTTTGAAACCAAACCCAAGGTTTCAAGGTCATTAGTCTGCATCGCAAAGCAGTGGTGCTGGCTACAAGATCATTAGTTTCCAATCTCCCGCAAGAACAAGCACTAGAATCTTGGGGGACCTGGGGTTGAGCTCAAGATTGCTTGTCAGAGTCTAGGTTTAAACTGTGATTTGGACCCTAGCTTCCTGTCTACCTACTAGCAAATGGGTATCAAGCAACGATACGGGGCTAGAGGCAGGAAAGAAAAGAGCTGGCCATTCTATTCCTACCATTCCTGCTGTTTGCCCAGGACAAGTCACCCCCCCCCCCCCTAACAGGATCAAGTTTTCTCCAGGTACGTATCGGATGCGGGTGCCTCTTTGCCTAACCTCTTGCTCGACCAGAACTTCGTACAATAAAAGGTCAAAAGATACAAATGGAAAGCAAGCGAAGAGAGTAATTTGTTTATTTCCTCCACTTCTTTTTCCAGTTTCTGTTGGAAATCTATGTATTTCCCCAAGGCTCTTCCATCTAGGCTGTCTAATTAGACCTGCCCAGATCTAACTCTTCCAAAAGTAAGATCCCATATTTCCTTCTATTCCATTTTTTGATGAGAACCAGAAAGTCGTACTTTACTTTTCGCCAAACTAGCCAAAAATCGGGAGGGGTGGCGGGGGGAGGATAAACACATTTCTTTAGTTTAGAGAAACAATATCTTCTCTCAAGACAAAATTTTCTGTTATTAAGGTTCTCTCAAGTCTTATAGTCCAGACATCCGAATAATTTTCCTTTTCAAATGAACAACACTTTTTGCATAAAAACACGTCTACAAAAAACCCCACCAATACGATGACAACAAATTAAGAAAAAATAGCACTGATAACTCTCAACCATAAAAACTGCTCAAAAAGGATTTGCTGTATGTTGTATTTTTCCTGTTCCAGTTGAGATAATAGAAATATAACGTCTTGCATCTGATTGAGTTTTTAATTCTACGCCATGTTACGTTGCTGTGTGCTATTTTTCCTTCAAAAAATTAGCAGTTAAGCACATGATAGTTGAGAAACTTTTTGATTAAAATCCGTAGAATATTAAGAAACTGAGCACTGATCCTAAGGATAGTTTCTGATAAATACGAATGCATATAAATGTTCAAGTTGTTTTATTCAGATGAAATTTGTTTGTGTGAAATTTGTTTGTTTGTGCACGCAGGCTAGTGTAAATAGACTTTGAACGAACTGGCAGCGTTTTGTAGTTTTATAAGTTCCAGCCTGTCCGCCCCATATAGCATAATTTTTGCTAGGAATTTCTCGCCGTTGCCAGGAGAACTTTGAAAGATGGCATGTTTAGGGCTTTATGATACCAATGCATAAGCTGATGAAGGCTTTCATGACCTGGCAACTAATTTCACAAACTGTTCCAAAATACATATTCATGGGAATGTGAATTAAAACAAAGTGGAGCCATCCTAGCAAAAAATTTGCATCTTGTAAATTTGATTTGGCATCTAGCATATCAATTTACTAATGGACAATGCCTGCCAAAAGTCTTTGGAACGTTCTGAGATTTCTGTGAATTTACGTGTCCCAAGGAGGGTGTTGGCCCCTTTCCCCCTTATACAATGTGATTATTTAGCTGAAAACCATAGCTATGTAAAAATGTATCACTTGTACATGTAGGGTTTTCAATATTTCCGTGGCACAACATGTTATAAAAGGAGAGGCAGGGGATGTTGCAGCTCATGTACAACGTAAATTATGGCCAGTGTTCCAAGACTTTTGGCAGGCATTGTAGAAAGTTTTTGCCGGGGGAGAGCGCTGTCTAAACTCGGCATTTTATAGAACTTTAATGGGCAAATCCAAGGGTTTTTGTTTTCCGAGACAAGATTGTAGCCATCATTTCTATACGCGGGGCTGCGACAGGTGTGCCAATTGTTTCAAAACAATCCTGTATTGAGTGACATGTTCATAAAAGCAGCCGGCTCATGTTATTTCCGTATTCGGACAATTTGTAGAGGTATTTCATTCACGACCTATTCACAACAAGCACACATTTATTATATATAGACTGAAAACTTATAATAAGAATCTCTAACGGCTCAGAAAGTCGAAACCTGGCACAAATCGAGACCAGGCTTGCATCTTGTAAAACAAGCTTAAATATGTGCTGATCGTGTTTGATTATGAATCGTCTGTTTGCAGGGCAAAACAAAACGTTGCTAAGAGAGGACCGACAAAGTTTTGATAGCGATTTATGAGCAAGGGTCTATTTGAATAAATCACACAAAAGTAAGAAAATATTTGGAAGGCACCTCTGCCGACGCTTCCGTAACAGGAAAGGGGGCCAAAACAACTTCTAACAGGCGGTAGTAAAAAGCCATCAAAATAACTTAAGATGACAACCCTCTTTCAGTTGCAAGAGTTTCATTTCGCAGGCATCCAAAATGTTAGATGTGGGCACGAGTTGATAGTTTTTAGAATAATCTTATTAAAACTTCCCAGATAAAGGAATGTGGAAATGAGACGATACGTAAACCACTTTTTAGGGATTATTTGCTGGCTGAAAACTATTTCCGCTTCAAAAACCACAGAGGTATAAACTTACAATGGCAGACAGACACGATAAATTAGTATACAACGGAAATATATTTCATTTTTGTTCATTTTATTAAGATTTCTTTCGTCAAGTAATTTTTACATCCGAAGGTAAAGATTATTATAATACAGAGTTGAAAATAACAATCGTTATAAAAATATACAACTATTGAATGAAAAATCAAATAGAACTGCACAGGGTGCATTTTAAAACAAGTTCTAAAGTTTATTGAAAACATACAACAAAATGCGAATAAAATTAATTAATTATGGAAATTTCAAATTCGAACGCACACGGATAAAAAGTAAAAAGATTCGCTATTCTGAGCGGTCATACAATAAAACTCAATTAACCTCATACAAATTCAATTGATATCATGCGATAAAATACAATTATTTTTACAATATTAAGTGTTCATCCCTGGACAAGAAACATCGTTTGTTAGGAGTTCTCTTGTGCTCGACCTTCTTTAGAGATCAACGATTTTTAAATACTAAATGCAGAAAGTGTACTCGAACCATTCAAATTGGAATCTAAATTGTTACTTTTAACATCCTGAAGACTACAATATATTAATAAAACATCTAAATTATTTGAACATGAAAATATTAAAACGCTGTTACAATTTCAAGATCCTCCGAAAAGATTATCCAGTTATTCATTCTATAAGAATCACTCATTGCATAACAAATTTAGTCGAATCGAAATTCGCTTAATTTGAAAACTAACACTTAATTGATTGCAGCCTTGCAGAATCAAAAACATAAAAAAATTTCAACTTAAATACGTTGGAAGAATTAGGGCCTAAATACGGGGCTTTGCACTGATTAGATCAATTGCACGTGTTAATTGAAGCCCGAAGAATCTTCAATGGCTTTTGGCATGCCGCTTGGACGACGAAAATCTTTTGAACTTAACGATAAAGTAAATAACGTGTATTCGAGATTAGTTTTAAGTTTGCTTTCAAAAAACAAAATCGTTCCACTCCATTTTCAATTCAGGCATATATTTATTTATGTTCAGGAAATCTCTGAAAAACACGAAAATCAGTCGGTGAGTAAAAAGGGCGCGAAGACCTTCCTTAAAACCCGTTTAAAATTGAAGCACGTCCTTTGCTGCGTTTCGACCGATCTAAAAGCCCGATATTTAAATATTCAATTTACTATAAAATACCTGATTAAAAAAACTTTGAATAGCTCAATATCCCATAATTTCATCTTTAGCACCCGCTGTGCGACTATGAAATGGCTTAAGGAGAACTAACTTCTCGGAGGTCACATAATTTCGTTCAGCAACGTGGTTTGAGCTTGGCTGCAGTGGGTATCTGTCCCGGTCGCATCACCCTGCCCGACCCACTTCCAACTGGTCCGGGACTTTGTTGTGGTACTCTCGCAGCGTGCTGATTCAGTGGACAGTATTTAATTGTGTGTGAACTGTCCCCATTTGCTTTGCAGATCGGGCACGTGTACGCGCGTAAAATGGGGCAGGTTGTTCGGCCTTCAGCGTCCTTCAGAATGTGATTTGAATACACGGCCTCACTTTCTCCATTATTTCGACAGAATACGCAAACCTGTACGCTGGCTTGTGGTCGTGTTGTGCTTGAGGTTGACACCTGCATTTGTTGTACTCCAGGAATTACTTTCTCTTGTCGGTTATTGACTTGGTTCTGGTATGACCCGCTGAAAATCTGATCACGTACAGCTTTGCTTAACCTCATGCTTGGGGGTGGAAGGGTCTTGAATGAGGCATCTTGAGACTGACTTCGTTGATAATTGTCTGGGAAATCACCATTGTAGTTGTAAGGTGCATTCGGCATGGTCGGCGAAATCACGACACTAGGATCACTTGCGTCACTTTCCCAGCTTAATCGTCTCGTTGACTTTTGAAACATGCTTGAATATGTTTGCCTCTCTTGTAGTAGCGGATTGTCTTCTGACATCTTTACATTTTGCAGTAAATTTGATAGGCCAAAGTAGTCTTGAAACACGCTAAAGTTGTCGCTTTTGCTGCCATGGAAGGTGAAATCTGAGGAGAGAGCGTTTTGTGCGAAACTTCTGCCTCCACCACTATTCAGCGAGCGCGTGTTCCATGAATCAAAATCGTCGTCACAATCGAGAAAATTCCTTGGCATCAAATTCTGCATGATTATATCACTCATCGACATCTTGGTTGAAATTTTGAGCGAATTTCCTTCCTTAGCGAAACTTTAGGTTTGCAACCAGCAATAGATGATCAACAAGAAATTTGTATTGTCGCGCGTTTCTAGTTCCTGAGCAACAAGAGAATGAAGTAGATTTGATTGTCGTTGCATTTCATCAGCCTTTTATCGTGAACCGGGGGCGTGACAATACGGCGCGACGGGGGTAGCATACACGAAAATATCCATAACAAGTGCATCGTTTCAAAAAAGGTCAATCAAATTGCAATGCATATTAGGCATTATTAATTAGACAAATGCCTTACAGGGGGTAATTTAACCGCAGTTGGAAACATGAATGGTGGCAATACAAATCTCCAATATCAAGTACTTTACCACGACTATATTATTGATCAGAGGCTATCGAAAAACTGCGAATTTAATATTCTGACACAGCTTAAAATGGCTTTGAGTTTCTCTAGCTCAAATTAAGAACAAAGATAGCTTTTGTAAAGCGCGCAGACTATACGTACTGAGAAGAAATGGCCGCCCCTTTGCTAAGCTTTGTGACATGACTGTCCCCTGCTGAACTTCAGAATATGTAGCACGAACGCTGCTGTAAAGAAATGATCGAATTATCCAAGTACCTTAAATTCAAGCTCTAGCCTACTCATCAAGTCACTTTAAAGGGGTCTGGAGAATCGCTGGGAATCTTTGATTGTTCAACCTACTATTACAGAAAAAATCAGAAAAATAATCCTGCCATTGGGAATATTTCAGAAATTGGCTAAAGTAGCTTGCAAAATTTTTTTTTACATTTAGATGTCTTCATTTTCACCCGATAGAGAAGCGTTTTAGTGTGATATTTCTAATCAGATTGCGACAAATCTGTTTTAATGTTTAGGTTTTGGTGTTCAAAAAGGTAAACAGTTGGACATTCGAAAGAAGGCTTCTTCCCTGGTTTGACTGAACAGTCTAGCTATCCCCCTGGACTATTTGTGTAAAGGAGTGTATTCCCATTTTGTAAATTGATCTGCTTCCAGTGAAAGCCAGTCTCAAGTGTAAGACCCTATTGTCAAAAGTGATAATTAAACTGTCAATCAAATTTACATTTTATTCAAAATCAGGGTGACGACCAATGAGATCATTTTACTCATTCACCAAGGGAAATAGAAGCCCTTGAATGAACGTGTGTGCGTAATCCTCGCAGTTTCAAAATCAAAAGCGATAAAATTCGTCAGATCGTTCCATCGAGGTTTCAAAATAATAAACGGATTGCCATCAGAAGATCCTCCATTTATCATCAGTCCCTTGATCATAAAAAGGTGATAATTCTTCGCCCAATATGGACAGTTTACGTAAATGACTGTTTACTTCAGTTCTTTCAAGTAGACGTGTAAACGGTTGCGGCAAAAGAAAGCTCTTTCTGTTTTCCAGATAGCGCGGATATTGATCAAGCAAAATAAACAGGGAAATAATCTGCTAGCAACCAAAATCACTTATTTACAAGTATTGGAATAGCAAAATTGAGGTTTCTCTTCTTCCTAATGCAGTTTTTCCCAAAATGCATTGTTATTCAAACATGGTTATTGCTTTTGTTATTTTTTGCTGAAGGTTTTAAAACTATTGATTTCACTGAGCTGTTAAGAACTAAGTGATCAAAATAAACTGAATTGTGTTCAAGAAAAATAATAACAAGTGTTGTAAGCATGTTGAACTAATGAGACCTTATAACTAAGACTTCATCGCCCCTTTTCGATTCTTAAGAAATATGCAGTAGTATTTTTGTAAATAGCAGTGGTTGAAAGTAATATTTTTGTAATGCTTCAAACGACATCTCTGCATTTTTCTGTAAAAATCCACAAAAACAGTATGGAGATGAGATAGAGGGGCAAATCACTCTAAGAAAATCTCGTACACCTTTGAAAATCCTATTGTTTTATCTGAAAATCCATAGAAATCCTTTTGTTTTAGGCAAAATCTCGTACGCTATTTGCAAGAGTGAATAGTCCCTCGGATGAGATATTTTTATCCTTTGTTTATCGAATGAGCAGTTTTCAAAAAGGCTTTGCCTTATGGCTCAGTCATTATATTTTGAAGAAATCATCAGCAAACATAGAAAATGGATCGTTCATTAAATTTGATACAGAGCTTACAATAAATAGTTTCGTTATAAAACTGCCAGTTTTCTACTGCCTTGGCCCTCCCAAAAACTTAAGTTGTATAAGTAAAATACTTTCCACAAATTAACAATGAATCTCAGAAAACAGCAAACAGCTGATACAAGAATAAACAGATGAAAAAATAATTACGAGCTAGAAAGTTTACGTTACGAGGATATGCACGTAGAGGACTTCCCAAAAGATTCCCGTGATTCAAAAGCCAGCGATATAAAATTAGCTATTGATATCAGACAATCCGTATCTTGTTGACTCATCAACCAAATAAACTTATCACAAAGGTCAAGGGATGATATTCTGGAAAATTTTGAATAAATCATGGATAACATGGAATTCCTAGCAGTCTCGTAAAGGGGACAAACTAATAAAAAATGAATTTCGTCCTCCACTGCAGTTTTATTAAAATATTGACAAAATTGACATTTATCAGGATTTATCAGGGCTGCCCTCCCCCTCCCCAAACAAAAATGTACCGTATTTACTCTAATATTCCCGCTTCTCTTTTATTCCCGCCTCTCTAGTAATCCCGCTTGTATTTCATAGATTGTAAGAGTAAACCCGCCTCCCCAATAATCCCGCATGCGGGATTGAAACTTTTAATTGGCATTTGCTATTCTTTACACACTTTGTATGGGTTGAAAATCAAGGATTGAAACTTATGCTTGGAGTGAATGGGTTAAATCACATGATAATGTCATAGACGGGAGAGGGCAGAGAGCTGTCTTATTTTGCAAGTTTATCAAACATCCAAGTTTCGTAGCATAAAGAGACGTTTGATTCTTTGACTTCGCACTACTGTCTATAAAGCACAATATCTGCTCTGTCTTGTCTGTGAAAATTTATATCCCACCCCTCATTTAATTTTAACCCCCCCCCCATACATGTTGAAACTGCATATTTTCCTTTCTGACTTGCCACAATCACGTTTAAGAGACTTTTTTGTTAAAACGGTATCCTCAAACTAGACTTCAAGGCATTGAAAAAATAATCCCGCCTCTCCAATATACCCGCCTCTCGAATAATCCCGCCTTTTTTGTTAGGTTGAAACGCTTATCCCGCAGTGGGAATATTAGAGTAAATACGGTATCTATGTCTTTGAATTGAGTTGAACACATCTTATTCACCATGTGATTAATACTTGCTAAATTTTATAAAAGATCGCGATATGATGATCTTCATTTACACCCTTGCACCTTCCATTCTAAAAAATTCGATTACAGAAATACAATTATTGAAATGTCTACATAGCTTTGTGCCATGCGGGCAACGAATCCTTCAGATGGTCTATAATATTTGTTAAATTTCATGCATGTTGACGTCACTGAGCGATCAAAATAGGTATTGGCTTCTCATGGCAAGGTTTCTCGAGATTAATTTCAGTTTTATAAATTCTTAAATGTCACTTCTTCTTTTATGTTTGCTTCTTTCTAATTTTCAAATTCTTTATTGCTTCAAAACTTTATGAGGCACTCTTTGAGTACCATAATTTGGTAATCTAGATTTATTGCAATATGTTGATTGTGTTAGATGGCTTCTGTGACAACGAAGTTTTTCTGTTTCAATTTGTTTTTCGTTTATACAAAACAATAAAATCTAAATCATAAACGAAAACAGATTTTACCTATAAGAAGTCAAAAAGATATTTCAAATAATGCTCGAGAAAGCTTGATATTTTCTATTATTAGAAATAAATTTCCAAAGATACTGCCAAAAGCATGCAAAGATACATGCAAATAAATAATTGATTATTACTATCATATCGACATAGATTTATTCTTATTCGTAAAATAACGCTTACTAATGCAATGGGAGAGACAGAATTTCACCCAGCATCAACTTGATAGGCCTTTGAAAGGCAAGACAGTTCACAAGGAAATTTATTCACTAATTTATTCAGTAATCATGCTGTTCACTAATTTAGCAAGCTATTTGATTTAATTGAATACGTATTAGGAACAAGGCCCAGAAAAATAAACAAAGACATAAAGATGGGCAAGAAGATGGAGCCTAAAATGCAAATGTTGTTGAATAATAAGATGCCTGAATAAGATGCCTCAAAAACATTGAAATGGAAACTTACACTTACTTATAATAAATTGGGTCTTTCAAGCCTCTTTCTAAAGCTCTTAAACCCAAGGCCTATCTGTTAAGAGTGGGGCGATGTCCTGGCCCTAAAGTCGCCCATTTTCTTTTTTTCGTCTAAAGATTTTGTATATCATATTAGTTTTCGTTGTTAACGAAACAGTAACTCTTCAATATGTGAAATTCGCATAAGGAAGCTCGGGAAAGCCTAGCCCAGACTGAGATAAAAGGGAAAGAGAATTTGAATATCAAAGACAAAATGCACGTGTGTATATCTTTCAAAATTTTAATTTTCTGGTTGCTTTTGTATTTTTCAAGATGGTTTCGAAAACAAGCATTTGTCTAATTTTTCTTTAGAACCGGAAAATTTCCTGTTGCTCATGCTGTAATCAAATGTCTATAATAAGAAATGAAGGGGATGGGGCTGTTTTAAAAATTAATATCTGAACAAACGATAAAATTGTTAGTGGTTTGTAGAGGCATAAGTTCGATTTCTAACACACCCTCTGGACACCAGATATCAATATCAAATAAAACTTTCCTTAAGGAATTGTTCAATATTTTAAAATATAGTTGCAAGTTTTACTCGTGCTGTGTTCCTCGCAAAATATATTCATAAATGATAGCTCCTTGAATTTCCTTGTCCTACGCAAATCATAGTTTACAAGCCGTTGTATTTAGAATTAAGGGAAATTAATAAGATATTAACATGTTGTAACGTTGTATTTTGACCAATAAGATCAAGGTGGCTGTTCTCTTTAATGAGGAGTTATGTTGAAAATAACATTTTGTTTTTTCCTATCCCCCAATCTTTGGGTTGTGCGTCCTGCGTAGCCAAAATCACACTAACACGAAGAACCATAAAAAACGGAACTCTTTTGTTTGATAGGAAGGCAATCCTTTTGAA